CAAAGTGTCACTGTGAGTAGACGTGTACCTCAATACGCCACAGTCACGGACCCAAAAATATCCAGATGCAATATATTAACTTCTTGACATCAGTCTATCAGACATCATAGTTAATAGTATTTAATAAAACTTACCAGAATATCATTATTCTTGAGTATCCTCACTACCTGGGTTCCGTTGATATTGATATTAACAGCGTCTATACGTGTCAGGTACTTTGATTTTAACACTGAATATTTGCCACGGAAATCGGCAGTGATTTGAAAAGTGGGTTTACTGACGTTGTCACAGTCTTGCGTTAAAACATATGTACATGGACCTTGAAACTCATACTTTACACCATCAAACGTTATCATATGGGGATCCCTATTAGTAATACCACCTACGAAAAAGTATATTTAAACAAATTCATTATGTAGATAAAGAATAAGTTTCAAAATCAGTACTTTTGCCAATAGTGAAAATAACTTAACCCCAAAACTATTATTATATGACACAGTACTGGATTCTAACTCATAAACACGAGAAATGCCATTGCAGTCACGCACCCCACCATGCTATACTAAATATTTGCTGACAGTTAAAGACGGCTAATGGGATGTCAATATTGTACATTTTAGGTAGTTTAATTTCAACGCGAATTGTGTATTTTAGACTTGTTTCAATGTTGCTAATAGTTAGTAATTGAAAACTATTCTCATTTAACCAGTAATCATACTGTTTTAGAACAATATCGTTCTCATATGATTTAAATGGAGAGTACGACTTTCCCTTCGCTATTCAAAAATAGGACAGCAACCACCTTTATTTCCAGATAAACAAGCTATTGGAATGAGCTAATCGCTTGATGTATAGTTCAGTACAGCATGTAGTTAATATATGATAATATATTCATTAATCTGATGCATTTTTTTCTGGTCATTGGCCAATTGTCCTTTATAAAATTATTTAGGTAACACATGTGATGATGAATGCCGAAAAAAACACCTTCAACTCACCGTGTATTAAGTACCATATTTACTAGATATATATATGCTGAACACAACATATAATTACATGTAAAATTCCTCATCTCTAAACTACGACCATTCTCACTGTTGCATTACATTCGATAACGTTTGCTGCCATGACATCGTCTATGTAGAAGACATTATCGAAAACCGCCGAGGCTTGATTTTTGGTAAAATACTTACATTTTTTGACAATTATGGTTCCTTTCATGCTAGGGTCGCTGGCATCTTCCCAAGTAATCGTGTGGTCTACTGTGTTGTCACTGACGGGGAAACTGTCTGATCCCGAGACTGCTTTCAAACAATGTTAGGGTTTGTTGTGCACCTCCGTCAATCTGAATTTTTATTGATGCTTTGCTGACTATGTTGCTGATCTCAACTCGAATTCTCTTGGTAAGACATGTATCCCAGAAGGCACTGACAGTTTAACCTTAAAGACATAATACAAAATAAAATACAATTAGTTCCTAGAAAAGTGTATGCCTGGGAGTGGATTTACAGCTATTACCGTCACTGGTGATGAAAAATTGGCAAAAGACTTTTAGGCTACATAATTGTTTTCAATAGTTTATTGTTGGAGGCAGAGCTGTATCTCATCAGTCTTAACCAAGGTACATACAATGTAGGGTAGTTGCAGTATTTGAGTACACACTAGGAGAAGGAATATTGTCAAAGAGATTTCAATGCAACTAAAATAAATTGGCATGCATGTAATATCATCGTGTCTTACATTTTGAACAAAATTGAATTCACAGAAAATTACGGGAACAACTTAAATAATGCTGCTAATTGATTCAACTTTATTGAAACCATTCCACCAAAATATGTGAAAAATCTCGGTTAGCAAACTCAATATAAAAAATATACAAAAGGATGGGCATTATGTAACCCATTATGTACGATGGTTTATTGAAATTTATCAGTTAACTAGTTTTTGACACAATGGGTTGGCTGGTTATTATTTTACTGAATCTAACTAAATAGATAACGCAAACTACCATGTCTTGCTTTTGTATAACATTTTGTAGTTTTGAATTAAAACAAGTTGTTTAATTGGTTTAATGTATTCAATATAATCACCAGAGACATACATACATGCAAAATATAACCCAATACAAAACATAACAAACAGTAATGATCATATCGAGGATAGCTCACAACTTATTTTTATCTTTAATACGCTCTTCAAAATATTGGAGCCTTAACAAAAATCCTTGATTTGTCGTCGAGCAATAAAATAGACCAACATCAGCACCCCCCCCCCCTCCATGAGTGGTATCAATTCTCGTTTTAAATGGACGCAATTAGGTGTGACAATCAAGCCCAGCTTGAACAATGGATCACAAAATTGTCATTTCCCATAGGGTTATTTATTTATGCTACACGAGGATAGAGTATTTATAACCTACCGGCCCTTTTACTCAGTTGCAATCCTGGATCACTCTGCAGGATTTCAGAAAATGTTGATGCCTGTAAGAAATTATAAATAATGTGATATGGAACAAAAATCATTTATGATTCTTAGGAATTCATTGCGCATCGATTCGGCGCACGATTCTATTAAGTTGTTCTATGACTGAACTTGGCAACACACATTCTTAGACGTTTTGTTAGCTCTGTGAATAATTCTTACAGTTATGTGTAAGTTGGTGCTACATATTATATCTTGCATGTCTGTCCGGTGTCTGTCTGAGCTGTGTATGTAACCGGCCATGTCATACAATAGTAACTCAAAAAAGAATAGCCGGAAGAGAATCAATTTTAGAGATCTGAAAGAGGAATGTTTACGCGTCGATTACGTTCCAGTGGTTATAATCTATGTATCGGTAGAATAGTAGAATGGCGAACATTTTGCGAGTAAAGTAAAAGAGAATCTGAATATTGTGACTAAACTATCGAGTAGGCAAAGAAAACAGGCAAGGCACAGGTTACCATTTAGAAAACGCACCTCGGGATATGATTGTAAAATTTATAATTTTTTTTCCATCCAACCTGAACCTGAACCTGAACAGTTTGTTAAGATGAACTTGTTACATGATGAATGATTTAATAAATTACAAACTACAGATGTACAATCAAATTTATAAAGTAATATAAGCTTCAATAAAGTGGATCACATTGTTTTTATGTTGTGCATCACAAATGGCTGACAAAATATTAGTTGCCAAGCTTCTAGTTTGAATGGTTCATCTTAAATTTTCAATTATTTTTTATTATACATCAATACTCCCAGCACAAGGCTTTCTTCTTGTAATGTGAGTCTGTTGTAGTGGGGCCCTTAAATAGTACTTTGGCGACCACACCTTACAATCTTTAGCGAGATTGTCAATTATTAATAAATAATTCTTAGTTGGATGCCATGATTGATAATTAATTTTTCAATGTATTGCACGTACACACCTTACATATGGGAAAATATAATGTGTGTTTATAAACTTTTTAAGTTTTTTATACAGTGAAAATATTATCAACCACTTTTTCCTATTTTATTAATCATTAACTTTTAATTAACTATTTTTATTGCCCGATGGCGTAATGTCCCCTTTGTTTTCCATGTTTATTAAGGAACTAAGCAATGAACTTAATAAGCTGGAATGTCATTGAATTCAGCATTTCCTGGATTATTGTCCTTGTTTACAAGGTATGTGTGGAGGTTTACAGTGTTAATTAAAAGGCAGTGGTTGTCTACCAAAACATGAGGATTAGATCTATATAATAATGTAATACTACATATTGTCAGGAGCATTTAAAGTGTGTGTTTTTTAATTCGACACCATAATATATATCAAATCTGTATCTGCGTTATGAGTTTTCTAAAATATATGAACATATAGAACGATTCTAATTATACCATGTATGAAAATGTATCGATACATTTATCAGAGCTCTAAAATAGCAGTTAAGAATGTGAAAAGTTTCCAATTTTCCCACATATTCTTGGACATTACATTAACAAATCCGACATTTTGCTTCATAGAACAATTTACATTTAGATCTCAGATGTTGAAAGGTTACTCACCCTTTATAATACGAGTTAGACTTAGCACTCAGGAAGTTAGTAACATGAAAGTGAGAAGTAGATAAACCTAACAAGTACTTTGAGAGATTTACCAGTTCAATTAAGTGTTAAACACGTAATGTGAGTCTCATATACGTATAATATCTATTTCTTCTTTACATCACTTACTGTGACTAAGTTTATATCACTAATTATGTATGATAACT